ATACGCCGTATTTTCCCTACAATAGGATTTATGTTTAATGAAGATACTGTTCTGAATAAATCAAAACATAAAAATTAAAAATTATGATTAACACCGATTTGCTTGTATTGTCCGAATAATCCCTGCATTTCTGAGGTATAGCATAGAACAACGGACAAATATATTTATAATCGCGTTTATTTATCTTAAAGAATACATGTGTCCTACAATATGGAATGTGTTTCAAAAAGACATCTTAACAAATAAAGTCAAACTTGATTATTGAAAATTATGAAATACACCGATTTGTCTGAATTGTCCGACTTTTCTAAAATTTATGCATGTTAGTGGGGCTATTTTAGCAGGCAAACAGACAGAGTTGTTTCCGCAACAGAAACATAGTAACTAACGTCCTTTGTAAGAATTGAATATCAAGGAAAAAACGCTGTTTTTTATTAGCCGCGCGAGTCCCCCCCCCCCCCCCCTTCGTTATGAATGTATTTCTGGACAATATCACGCTTAAACGGACAAATATATTAGTGTTGCTTTAGTTGACTTTAAGTTTCCAGATGTCCTACAATATGGTATATGTTTCATGACGATATCTTAATAAATAATGGCAAACTTGATAATAAAAAATGAAATACACCGATTTTATATGCATTGTCCGACTTTCCTGAAATATGTAAGTATGTGTATTATAGCAGACAAACTGGCAGAGTTGTTTTAAGATGTATTTCAGTATCTTGACATATACATTCGTCTCTACAATATATTGAATAATTTATGCCTTTGTAAATAACGTCCTGCGTAAGAATAAAATATCATGAAAAGCATTTTTATTTGCAGCGCGCGTTTTTCCAATTATTAATGTAATTGTTGACACTAGCATGGATAAACGGACAGATATATCTAATAATACATTCATTTATCTTAAAGTACATATGTTAAACAATATGGTATATGTTTCATAAAGACATCTTTACAAATAAAGCCAAACTTGATTATTGAAAATTATGAAATACACCGATTTGTCTGAATTGTCCGACTTTTCTAAAATTTATGTATGTTAGTGTGGCTATTTTAGCAGGCAAACGGAAGAGTTGTTTCCGCAACAGAAACATAGTAACTAACGTCCTTTGTAAGAATTGAATATCAAGAAAATCACTGTTTTTCTTTATTAGCCGCGCGAGTGCCCCCCCCCCCCTTCGTTATGAATGTATTTCTGGACAATATCACGCTTAAACGGACAAATATAGTAGTGTTGCCTTTAGTTGACTTTAAGTTTCCAGATGTCCCGTACAATATGATATATGTTTCATGACGATATCTTAATAAATAATGGCAAACTTGATAATAAAAAAATGAAATACACCGATTTTATATGCATTGTCCGACTTTCCTGAAATATGTAAGTATGTGTATTATAGCAGACAAACTGGCAGAGTTGTTTTTAAGATGTATTTCAGTATCTTGACATATACTTTCGTCTCTACAATATATTGAATAACTTATGCCTTTGTAAATAACGTCCTGCGTAAGAATAAAATATCATGAAAAGCATTTTTATTTGCAGCGCGCGTTTTTCCAATTATTAATGTAAATTGTTGACACTAGCATGGATAAACGGACAGATATATCTAATAATACATTCATTTATCTTAAAGTACATATGTTAAACAATATGGTATATGTTTCATAAAGACATCTTTACAAATAAAGCCAAACTTGATTATTGAAAATTATGAAATACACCGATTTGTCTGAATTGTCCGACTTTTCTAAAATTTATGTATGTTAGTGTGGCTATTTTAGCAGGCAAACGGAAGAGTTGTTTCCGCAACAGAAACATAGTAACTAACGTCCTTTGTAAGAATTGAATATCAAGAAAATCACTGTTTTTCTTTATTAGCCGCGCGCGAGTCCCCCCCCCCCCCCCCTTCGTTATGAATGTATTTCTGGACAATATCACGCTTAAACGGACAAATATAGTAGTGTTGCCTTTAGTTGACTTTAAGTTTCCAGATGTCCCGTACAATATGATATATGTTTCATGACGATATCTTAATAAATAATGGCAAACTTGATAATAAAAAAATGAAATACACCGATTTTATATGCATTGTCCGACTTTCCTGAAATATGTAAGTATGTGTATTATAGCAGACAAACTGGCAGAGTTGTTTTAAGATGTATTTCAGTATCTTGACATATACATTCGTCTCTACAATATATTGAATAACTTATGCCTTTGTAAATAACGTTCTGCGTAAGAATAAAACATCATGAAAAGCGTTTATTTGCAGCGCGCGTTTTTCCAATTATTAATGTAATTCTGGACTCTAGCATGGATAAACGGACAGATATATCTAATAATACATTCATTTATCTTAAAGTACATATGTTAAACAATATGGTATATGTTTCATAAAAATATCTTAACAAATAAAGTCAGACTTGATTATTGCAATTATGAAAAAAAAAGAGATTTTATTTGATTTGTGCGACACACATGTAAATTATATCTATTATAACAAACAAACGGACAGAGCAATCTATAAAAGCATTTATTGATCTTGAAGTTTACATTCTCCCTGCAAAATAGTGAATATTTCACAGAAATAGTTTACGTTAAAAGTAATCTATGAAACTTGTGAAAAAAACAGTTTTCATACGCCGCGTATCAGTCATATATGTGTAGAAACTAATACGGACAAATGAAGAAGAAATAGTTTTGAATGCATTGTATATATATTTCTCTGCAATATGAGATATCTTCAGAACTCTTGCTATGCCAAAACACAAGATCTCAGCGATACCGTTTGTTATCGGTAATTAGCAGACGAATTGATAGCGACTTTAATGATTATTGATCTAAGATGCTTTCGAATAACCTTACGTATTGGTATATAGGAAAAAGTACTAATGTACATATATATATGTGTGTAAGATAAATAATGATTGTATCATAAATAGTGTAAAAGAAACGCGTTCCTATAAACCCGGTTATTTTGAAGATGATGGTGATTTTGATTTTTATGTATGTCATATTCATTGAAATACTTTGTTTCAATACATTTAGTCTAAAAAATACGTATCTTTGTACATTTTTATATTCTATGTAAATGTCATTTATGTACACTGGTCAAACTAAAATAAATAAATAAACATGATTTCGATGCAAAATAGAAAGACGTGATTTCTATGCATCGAATACTGAAAAACTTCGTTAATGACGTTTACGAATATCACATTATATTTAAAATAAAGAAAATATTAAAACTGTTTTAAAATTGCACTGTTAAATATTCGTTATCAACCAAAGACCAGAGCAATGGCGGAAATATTTCTGTTGAGGTTGTTTAGATGTGCGTTTACCACGGGACCGGCAATATAGTTGTAGGAAATATCAGTCTTTCTATTCGCCATCATTTTCTGGAAAATAATTTGAAAGCTTCAGAACAACTTAACCTTAAGAACCTATGGGGAAAAGTAATTTGAATTTGTTACAGCAACTTTATTTTCCCAAATATCCTTTATTTTGTGTGCTTAGGTTCACCGGAAAAAGATATAAAATATCCTTAAAGCCACAATAAAATTTACTGCCTCGTTGCTCTCATTTGCATTAAGACGGGAATCGCTGGACCGTCGATATGCTACCAATCAGATAATTTTGACCGTTTTAGAGGTTATCCAATGAAATCAGGTGATCACGCGCTGTCTTTTGCGACTGGTCAATTAGTACATCTTGACCACGCCTATCAGTTAATAATAATTAGTGGTGTGTATGTATTTTAATTAGTTTAAGACATTAACATAATCAATGCCATCTCTGATTATTCTTATAATCTTATATCATCTGATATATGATACTGAATGCATAAATAATTGTTTTTCTATTTTATTTTTTCCGCTTTTTTCTATTGCTGATCTCTACCGGAACCATATATTGCTTAATTTTGTGTTATTTGCATACATCCTCATGTTTATTTGTAATACCTTGAGTGCAAATAAAGTTTTCTGTCTGCCTGTCTGTCTTATGCAAAAAATTCAAGTATAATGGCTTTAAAATTATTAACGTCTATGAAAACGCGCAGATAAATATACATGTAGTCGTGCACGCAAAGTAATAAATGAAAAAAAAAAAAAAAAAAAAAAAATATATATATATATATATATATATATATATATATATATATATATATATATATATATATATATATATATATATATATATATATATATATATATATATATATATATATAATTGATTGATTCATTCATTCATTCATTCATTCATTCATTCATAATAATATTTATTTATTTATTTATTTATTTATTTATTTATTTATTTATTTATTTATTTATTTATTCATTCATTCATTCATTCATTCTTTCATTCATCCATCCATTCATTCATTCATTTATTAGTTTTATTTGCGCTGCGCGCACCTAACCAATTTATTTATGTTAGTACGTACTAATAAACTTTAACCTACACTTTATTTAATATTGTATTGTAAAATTTGGTTCGTAAGAATAGCTATTTGTTTTAATACACCGTGAACAGAATGACGTTCTACGACATTGCGCTGGCACCCTTACTTCACGATATGCAGACGATATTTTACTTCTGCTTACTATATACATATATTTAAACTGCCACTTATACATATTATAAAGTGGAATTGTTTTCCTTAAATGCAATCTGTTAAAAAGCCTATCTGTTAGTAAAGTTGCCATAAAAATGTCTCGATAAATGATTGTTTGCGACATCAGTGAAGTTCGTGAAACTCGTCTTTATTTTGCCGCTCCCGGTTTTTCTATTTTTTTGTGTGTATGTGTGTTCCCTGCCCGGCTTCTCAACCTTATAAAGATGTGATTGTTCGTGCGCAATATTTCTAGCAGGAATGTATGCGTGTGTTCCCGTCTCGGTTTCCCAACTTAAGCTATGATGAGGAGGCAGTACACAGTTTCGGCTGTTTAGTTTCGAATTGGCCAGGGTGGAATTCACAAATAAGAGACAGTTTTGAAATTGAAGTGGATATTTGAGGTTCTAAATGTTTATAGTTACTATATTTCAAGTTTCAATGGCTAGTATTGTGTTTCAGTCATTTAGTAAAATTGAATTTAGTGGCGTTGATCCTTGTTTTTATGAGAGAGTACCTGTCGGATGCGAACGTGTGGTTTCTGGAGCTAGCCGGTGAATCAGCTCTTCAATTTGAAGGGTATGCAGAAGACTTAGAATAGTGAAAAAAGTAGGTGGATGGCACCCCGTTTGGATGTTATTTTCAGATTGTGCATGGTTTAAGAAGGAAGAAACAATATAGCTTGTGATTTAAGTTTTTGACGTTAATATATTGTTGTATTTTGCGTATAGGGATAATCCGCTTATTTTGTCGTTGATCTTCGCGACCAAAACAATGAAAAAACACAGGGCTGTGTGCCAGAAAACTAGAAGGTGGACATGTATTTTTAATTGTTTGCTGTGAGATACATATATAATTGTTAAATATGAAATGCATTTATTTCAGGTGTGTGATTACAGACTTGTGTGTGAGGTTTTGATTGTGGCGCAGTCAGTTGTTTGCCGAGAAGCCTTGAAAACTGTGTATTGCCCCCTTAAGAGCAAAATTTGATTTTTTGTAAGTACTTTTTAATATCATAATTACATGTTTATATTGACCCAAAGCTGTGGCAATGGTGAAATATGAGCTTTTAAAGTGCATATTTTGCCTCATGTCTATATTAGAGAGCAAAATCAAGGGGATGTAATTCTTCATTGACAGTTAAAATCATGCATTTAAGTGTTTGGTGAGCTATTCATCTTCACATTTAAGCTCACCTGAGTCATTTTCTCTAACATAGTGGTTCTAGGAGCATCAAATGATAGAAAAAAGCAATTTTCGTATAAAATTTTGGACTATCGCATCGATTCCAACCATTTTAGTTCAAATGAAGGCCTCGGATTGGGCATTTTTTGCGAGGCCAGTCCAATTTTATAAGTAATTTTTCTGAACATGTTTTTCAGAACTGTTTCATACTGGGAGTTGGTCATAAATGGTTGAAATAGCCAAATACTTGAAAAATATCAATTTTTATCTATCTGACCGTTTTTTTAAATTTTATAAGCAGATTTTGAAGGGGCGGTCAAAATAAAACCCTAAAACAAGGGTTTATTTTCTCAAAAAGCCCAAAAACATCCCCAATCCCAATTTTTCCTTTCGGGAATTTCTAAATTAGGGATTATGTAAATCAGTTTCACTTTTAAATCCTTTAAATGTTATTTTGCTTTTTATCTTGAAGGGAGATTTCATCAAAAATGACAATTTTTTTATTGTCTTAGGTTTGAAATTTTAGGGGATGGCGCTTTTTTGCCCAATAACTGAAATTGAAAACTTGATCAAAAACCTCTCTAAGCAGAAAATTTGGAAACAGGAAAAAGAAGTTGGCCATCTTAAAATGGATTGAAAAATGCCGAATATATGCTTTGCAAAGGAAAAAAGTTTTGTAAAAATTGTAAAAGCATCATTTAAAATGTGTTTTGTGGACTTTGAAATATTTCTTGTTTTGTCATTAAAAAATGGGTAATTTTAATGTAAATTCTCAGTATTCATGACCTTTTTTTATTGGCAATATTTGCTGAAGCATGTAGTGCCCTTATATAATTCAGTGGTAAATTTCATTCAAATTGATCAAATTATAGAAATGAAGGTCAAAATTGTGGGTTTTAAAAATGTTTTGTTGTGCTTTAAGGAGGCAGTACACAGTTTCGGCTGTTTAGTTTCGAATTGGCCAGGGTGGAATTCACAAATAAGAGACAGTTTTGAAATTGAAAGTGGATATTTGAGGTTCTAAATGTTTATAGTTACTATATATTTCAAGTTTCAATGGCTAGTATTGTGTTTCAGTCATTTAGTAAAATTGAATTTAGTGGCGTTGACCCTTCTTTTTATGAGAGAGTACCTGTCGGATGCGAACGTGTGGTTTCTGGAGCTAGCGGTGAATCAGCTCTTCAATTTGAAGGGTATGCAGAAGACTTAGAATAGTGAAAAAAGTAGGTGGATGGCACCCCGTTTGGATGTTATTTTCAGATTGTGCATGTTTAAAGAAGGAAGAAACACTATAGCTTGTGATTTAAGTTTTTGACGTTAATATATTGTTGTATTTTGCGTATAGGGATAATCCGCTTATTTTGTCGTTGATTTTCGCGACCAAAACAATGAAAAACACAGGGCTGTGTGCCAGAAAACTAGAAGGTGGACATGTATTTTTAATTGTTTTGCTGGATATACATATATAATTGTTAAATATGAAATGCATTTATTTCAGGTGTGTGATTACAGACTTGTGTGTGAGGTTTTGATTGTGGCGCAGTCAGTTGTTTGCCGAGAAGCCTTGAAAACTGTGTATTGCCCCCTGAATGATGAAATGTTGAACCTGATTCTTTATCTTATAGATGCTTGTTCTGATCGAGGTAATGCGGTCAAAGCGCCTTATGACCCCGATCTGATTAAGACAGCACAATTCGGATGCCTGATATTTATGATTGTCAAGAGT